AGTCTTTAAATTTGAGATTCTTACAATGTTACAAATATCTCTCCCAATGCATTGTGGGCTTTTGTGGTAGTTTTCTTCTTTTTTTCTTTTTATAATAAATGAGTTGGTAGTTTACAATCAATTGTAAATTTACTAGATAGAAAACATTTGTTTCCACATCAAAACTCAAATGAAACAATTTCTCCTTAAATGATATTTATTGTTAAATGTTGAGTATCAAGCTGGGCCTCTTACTTTTTAGGCACAAACATTTTGTTTTGTTGGACAGTCTCAGTTCCTAATGTTGAGCAAAGAAAAAAAGTTTTTTTTTTTTGTTTTGTTATTTTGTTTTTAAAGGAGCAAGCCTTGGATTAGGAACTTCTTTAATGGATTGCTTCCTGATTCTTTAATTCTGAGATCAAAAGACTTTTTTGTTGTTTTTGTTTGTTTGTTTCCTAGCAGAATTAACTGCCCTTAATCTGTCAGGCCAAATATTCATTTTTAAACATTCTATCAAACCTGTCATCCTGTGTTGCCCATGCTCCTCAGTCATTTCATTTTGATATATAACTTCTTGATTCTGAACACCTGCAACCCAAGGACAACATGACCAAAATAATCAAATAAAAGAGAGTTCCGGGAGTCAAGGACTTTGTACACATTTTCAGTCACAAGTCTTCCTTTTTTTTTTCTTTCTGTCTTTCTTTCTTTGGCCTTTTCATTTTAAGGACTCTGTTTCTTTCTTTCTTGGTATGATTTCGAGTCTTCCGAAGTGGATACTATTTTATTTCAGGTGGGTCGTTTAATAGTTTGTTGGTGTTTTCAAGGTCTCTAAAACAAAGTCTGATGTGTTAACAGTCTTATTAACGATGTTAAAATAGAATTGACAGCTTGTGGATGCCGCCAGAGCACAATAGTTGGGCAGCCTCCCCTGCCCCCTTATAAACGGTGCCCCCCCCACCCCCGCTGTTTTCCCTTTGTTTCAGACCCAATCAGCAAACTAAACTTTTGTGGAGCAAGGAGGCCGTTCAAGTGTTTCCGAGACAGCTGAAGGGAGGAGCTAGTGTGGAATTTATTGGGAGACCAATCAGTGCTGGGGGGAGAATGACCCCAAATTGGGAAGAAGGGCTTTGCTGGTCTGCGTGGCTCCCTGACCTCTCCTGGCGGGTTTGTTCTCATAAAAGCGTTTTGTTCTGGTTGTGTTGTGTTTCCTAAAAGCCCCCCCCCCACCAAAAAAAAAGTTTGAGAGGTTCTGGATTATGGAATGCCTGACCCAGCACAGATATAACTGTGTTGTATGATTTTCAAGGACCTCGACTAGGTGTGAACATTCAGTTTTTTTTTTTAAGAAGTCTTATGTGGGCTCTCAATAGTTTAAAATGCTTATTTTTTTAAAAAAGGAATACAATTAATTTTATCAATTCTTTTGAACCAAAATAGCTTCCAGCTTTCTTCCGGTGTCTTGGGAATTACTGGGGTCACAGAACTGGCTTGGCTGTATGTCCCTCCTTCTTCTATTTGGATTCATTTGCAACTTTACAGAAATAGAAGTGTCGTCCAGTTCATTAAAACATTGTCCTTTCCAGACAATAGTCACAGTAAGACAAAGATTTTTTTTTTAAAGAAAAAGCCGACTTTTTTCATCAGCATTGCTAGTAACAAGTTTGACAGGCCATCTTATTTTGAAATACGGATCTATTTAATGCCATCATCTGATTTAACAATGTATGAAGTACAGCACAGGAGTTTGGGTAAGGGTTAAGGAGACACTGTTAAGTTTTTGGTTTTTGTTTTTTTCAGGTTGCATGGGATGTTTCTTTGTTCATTCATTTGCCTTGTGTTTTTCTTTCTTTTTTTTTTTTTTTCAGTGTGCATTCTTGCTTATTTTTCCTTTTCAACGGGCTACTGGTCAATGACTTCAAATACAGTACTAAGACCTAAGGTGGTACCGTGTAGGTACAAAGAAAAAAAATGTTGGGCAGCACACAGGAAACCGAGCATTTTCTTTAGATCTAGGACCCATAAAATTACTCGGGTACCCCGAAATAAAAATCATTTGTCAGGGAACACACTAGCTCTCCCCTTCTCTTAGCTCATATTGAGTTACTTAGGCAAAACCCCAAGGGGAATACTCTCTCCTACTTTGTAAGCCCTAAAAAATATGCACCATTGATCGGACAACGTATGAAAGCGGAGCAAAAGAGTCGTCGTTTGATGCCAGCCACACGCACGGGTGTAAATAATACCGTTTTCCAGTTGGCATCCTTGAGCGAGTGCTGCGTGATTAGGGGGCATTTTACCTGAGCAAGGAAGGAACGACTCCTCCGCGGTAGCTTCTCCCCGGATCGCTACCGCTTTGTGACTTTCCTGCAGCCATGGCTGCCCCACACTCCAACCCAAGGCCCAGTGTGTCCTCACATTCCGCTGCTGGGCCACAGACCCAGCTCACGGCCAGCGCCAGCGTAACTGACCTCCTCTTTCCTCGGGTGCCCACTGAGAGAGGCTGTGCTGCTGGGGATACGCCTAGGGACGCTGCCAGCATCAATACTGTGTCCACCTGATGGAAGTGCCTGGCGTGTGTCTGGGTGACTTGGGGACACCAAGAAAGCCGAAAGGATTAGCCACAAACAAAGAAAGCCTGTCACCTTTGTGCAGAAGCCAGCTGGCCACCCCTTTCAGAGACACCCTGACCAGCCCCGTTTTTCTCTAACATTTAGCCAAGCTGCAATGCAAAGCGTTGCAGGCCTGAATAGGTTAGGGAAGGAGCCAGGAGCATGAAGAAGGAGCCATTCCTTTTTTATTGCAGGTGACATAGGGAGGGACAAAAAACAAAACAAAACAAAACAAAAAAACAAAAACCCCACAAATGTAAAGAAACTTTAATAACCAGTACAAGTTCACTCTTCAGGGATGTCTTGAATAGCCTTGGTCCTTCTAAAGCCCCTCTTGATTTACTTCCTAACCTTAAAGAGGAAAGAAAAAGTCTATGGCCCCAACATTTGCTTTAGTTAAGTGACCTAAGTGGATTGTAACTCTTTTGGCCACTGGCATTTAAGATAAATCAATGTCCTATATGTGAGTAAGATGTCTCTGTGGCTCTGGGGTCAGTTGCCCTAGACAAGAGTTTTCCTGTCTTCCTAAGAGCTCTGGGTGGATTGCCCAGAGTAGATCTGTGGGGAAAAAAAAGTTTTCTGAGCAATTTTAATGTTTGCTCTTTTGCATTTGAAAATCTGCAGAGATGATCTCTCTTTGGGATCATATGGTGCCCTGAGGTTGGTACTTCAAATCCATCTGTGAAATGCCACTTTAAAAAAAAATCCATAAAATCATGCTTCTTTGTTTCATCAAATAAGGGAGAACTGGAGAAAGAATTTGGCCATGGGGGGTTGAGGGGTGCCCATTGAGACAGGGTTTCTCTGTGTAGCCCTGGCTGTCCTGGAATTTACTCTGTAGACCAGGCTGGCCTTGAACTCAGAAATCCACCTGTCTCTGCCTCTGCTGGGATTAAAGGCCGCGCCTGGATGTCACCCTGTTTTTCAGTACTCATCCTATGGGAATGTTAAGTGATAGTTGTGATCGCTGAAGATAGCTCAGTACTTCAATCACTTCAGCCTGCCTTTTTAAGACACTGTTATGCATAATCTTAGGAAGGATTCTCCAGTAGGATTTATTGGCTTGGTTTTAAAGGTAAAAGAAATGATAAATGCCTGTGTTCCTCATGTAGCATAGTGTGGCCATTTAAAAAAAAAACTGTCTGTGACTTATATGTTAGCAAATTCACCTGATATGCAAAATGGTTAAAGGGTGTGACTGTGAGCCTAAGGAAGTCTAGACTGTACATGGTGCCTATAAAAGATGGCAGAAATTAATAATGCAGTAAGGTGATAACGGGCACTCTCTCTTTTGGTACCTAATTGCACCCAGTCTTGGTTTTATGATAGCTTAGCATCTACGTGTTTGCAAAACACTGTAATGTGTCATATAACTGTAGCATAACCGTAAAATAGGAAAATTACCCCTTCTGTATTTTATGGGCAAAAATTCTAATCGTCATATCGTAGCGGAATGATGTTTTCCAGTCAAGGGATAGTCTGGTTAAAATAGGTTTCTTTTAGAATGTCTTGAAATACATAAAAAATGTATTTGTTCATTTTTTTGCAGAATCTATTAATGGTATAGATCGATGGGCTTCCTTGTGACATTTTCCTGTGGATACATAATGTGCTCTGGTTACACTTCTCCTGTTCTATTACCCTTTAGCCTTCATATATTTCTTTTAAAAACAATTTGTTAAAGAAAAAAAAAAGACCCCAAACATATACTGTTGGGGTGGCCATGGTATATGTTTAGAATCTCTCTCTTTTTTTTTTTTTTTTGCCACCCTTTCAGACACAGAACCTTGCTATTGGGCACAGGGAAATCCAAATGATGTTTCTAGAAGTTGTTTTACAGCCTATGCAGGCAGGGAAGGGCTCCCAAGTGGCAGAAGACCAGAAAGGGAAAAGACCCCCTCTGTTCAAAGAAAGAACAGAAGTGATAAAAAAAAATGTTTCTTAGCCGGGCGGTGGTGGCGCACGCCTTTAATCCCGGAACTCGGGAGGCAGAGGCAGGCGGATCTCTGTGAGTTCGAGACCAGCCTGGACTACCAAGCGAGTTCCAGGACAGCCTCCAAAGCCACAGAGAAACCCTGTCTCGAAAAACCAAAAAAAAAAAACCAACAACAAAACAAAACAAAAAAATGTTTCTTACAAGTAAACTGCCTGGTGTTTCTTAAGCATTTTCTACAATAATATTTTCCTTAAAATATCTTAATTGAGGGATGCAGAGGAAGGAGGATTAACAAAAGAAAAAAGATCCTGCTTTGTGAGATGTACTATCTTATCAATATAGTTTTCTATGGGGACAAAAACAACAACAACCACAAAAACCACAAAATGAACTTTCACAGGATAACCCTAAGAAACATCTCCCCATATGGTCCCAAATGTTTACAAAAATATACCGGTGGAAATAACCATTTTGTGAAAAGAAATCTGTTTGGAATTGCCACTGTAAGAGTTCGGCCGAGCTTCGTTTCTGTCAGGTATTGGGATAATCAAGTGTACATTTTTTCATTCAGGGAGTTTAGAGGAGGCATTGTTCTATGTCCATAGAATAATGTTTTCTTTAAACAACTCTAACATCAAAATGGCCAAACTGTCGGACGGATGCATGTTAGATAAAACAGATGGGATTCTCAGATCGCACGCCGTTCAGCCGTTTGATGGAATTCGCGCCACCCTGACCAGTGAGCCCAGATGGCGCTTAAATCTGTCACTCTTTAACGACCCTACTGTTTTTTAAAAATATTTTTATATTGAGCTCATTCAGTTTAATCTGAGAGATTAATCATTTCCAAGATCTGTCCGGGGAGGGCCTGACTGAGGGCTTACTCCTGCCAGAACCAAAGTAGGAAGGATGTCACAGGACTGGCCTACCCGGTAGAAGAGTCCCGGATGGAAGCCCCTGGTGGGTTTTGGACTTTGGGACATTCAGGGGACAGCAGGGTTGAGAAGCCCACCCGGGGAGCAGTCGCAGTGGGGCTGAGGGACAAGGGGGGGGGGAAGGACATTTGGGAAAGGCCCTGGGGGGTGGAGATGAACACCGACTTGTCCAGAAAAGTCATCGCTGTTGCCAACCTTCGCGTTCTGCAAGGGGTCTGGTGCTGGCTGTGGCCGTGGCGGGACGGCCCTCATGGCAGAGGGATGACTCAGGGGGAGCGCCACCTGGAGCACACCCCCAGATGGATGAGCCTCTCTGAGGTGGTTCTAGAAACAATCCGGCTTTACGCTGGAACGCTCGGCCAGTCTCATAGAAGGGTTCCTACCCTCTTTTTTCCTTTTGAGACAGTGATTTGGGCCGTGAGGTATTGGCCAGAGTTTGCTTCCAAAGTCCCTTGTCTCACATACGTTTGCAAAGTTGCTCGCAGTTGCTCCATCCCTGCTGGGATTAGAAAGGGGGAAAACGAATGTTTTTTCATTATGCAGTTGTGATTTTTTTTTACCCCCTGCATTTGCATCTGATGTAGCATGTGTTAAAATATGGTACAGAATTTGCAGCGCCAATGTGCAAATTTTCATTACCACTAAAAGGCTACCAGCGATGGTCATACATTCACAGAACTAAGGAGGCCCTGCTGCCTTTAAAGATGATCCTGGCTGTGTTTGTGCGTGCTGAGATAGCATTGCTGCAGGTCATGTGACTGCTGCTTCTAACCAGGAAATCTCCTAGAGGGATGCTGGTATGGCTGGGGTCCAAATGTCCTATGCCCCACTGAGTTTGTGCCCACTGAACTCGGGTTGGAATTCTGTTTTAGGATAGAGTTTCTTTCTGAGCAAGCCCTCATGAAGACCGTGAGAAGCAAGCTGTGTTGGGAGCTGTATCTTGGAGAGTCTTGGGGCTCTTGGGGACTCAAGGTTCAAAATCATTGTATGATGGCACATGGCTATAATCTCAGCACTCAGAAGTCAGGGATAGAAGGATTGACACTAGTTCAAGGTCATCCTAGTAGCCAAGGATACACGGCGAGACCCTGTTTTACAGATAGGCGTGGATCTGTCTGAGCAGAACATTGAGCCCTTAGTACGTTGATCTTAATCATGGAACAGCATGGGTTGCAACAACATTCAGGTTGTGGAAGTCACAGATGGCATGGTGGTCCTGCCTCAGAATGCTGAGCCTATCCACACAGAGCTCTACCTAAGGAAGAATGGAAAAGCTACCCACCATCTTCTGCAGCTTAGGGTTTGATAGTAATTAGAGAGATAGGATTCTAGATGTGTGCTGGCTTCAGTTTACCAAGTAAAATAGGGCAATTTATGGGAAGCAGCTAATGGGGTCCACATTAAATATTATCTTGGTGGGGCCGAGGGGAGGGCTCAGTCAGCAAAATCTATGTAAACTTGAGACTCTTAAGTTTGATCTGCAGCACCCACAGACAGGAGAAGCACAGCCTTGTATACCTGTGACCTAGCACCCAGGGTGTGGAGACAGAAGAGTCCAGGGACTTGCTGGCCAGCTTCAGTGAGAGACCCTGCCTCAAAAAAATAAGGTTGAAGCTGGGCATGGTGGCACACACCTTTAATCCCAGTACTTGAGAGGCTGGGGCAGATGGATCCTTGTAAACTCAAGGGCAGCTTGGTCTAAATAGTGAGATCCAGGACAGCCGGAGCTTCTTAGTGAGACCCTAGATTTTTTTGGTCGGGTGGGGTGGGGAGAGGTTGAAAGTGATTGAGGAAGATACCCAACATCAACCTCTTCTGGGACACACACACACACACACACACACACACACACACACACATGCACACATATATACAGACACACATACACATAAATACACACACATACACACAAATATAAACACACAAATACACACACACATGCACACATATGTACCACACACACATATACACACACACATACACATAAGTACACACACATATACACAATCTTGATGTAGTCATATAACATATTTGGTAATATTTTAAAAGATACTACCTTTTTTTTACTATATTACATATTCCTATAGTTATAATAAATGTTCTCTTTTAGATGATTTTTTTACAGATTATTTATTCTACTTATATAATTTCCCCTAAAAACTAAAATCTTTGTAATATTTCTGTTGGTAAATGGTCTGTTTTGAAACAGAAGGAGCTGGTATAGATATGAAGTTGTGGCTGGGCATTGGTGGCGCACGCCTTTAATCCCAGCACTTGGGAGGCAGAGGCAGGCGGATCTCTGTGAGTTCGAGGCCAGCCTGGTATACAGAGCTAGTTCCAGAACAGTCTCCAAAATAATACAGAGAAACCCTGTCTCGAAAAACCAAAAAAAAAAAAAAAAAAAAGATATGAAGTTGTGGTTGTTGATTTATAAATGTAGGCAGAAGGGTTCTGTAGTCATACAGGAAATAAGCTTGTACCCATTACTGTCCATTATAGAAAATGAACAAAAATAAACCTTCACCGTTGATACCTTCCTCACTGTATAAACTTATGAATGGGACCCATAAAGAAATAGAGGAGCTAGAGCCAAGCTGTCTGTTGCTTGTATCTAAACTTCTCTGTAAGGATGAGTACAGGGCAGGGAACCCACCCTGGATCCACGATGTAGTTGGTGGTGGCCTGGTCAGGTCCACAGGGCTGGAGCCACTCCAGGACACGGGATTGGTTAAGGTTATCAAAGGCAAAGGCCATGGTAAGTTGGATAAGACATCAAAACAGGTGAAGAGGTCAGAAGTTAGGTTCAGAGTAACCAGGGCTTTAGGGTAGGGCAAGATGGTGTCGGCTGCTCTGCCACCGAGCCACGTCCAGACTGGCAATAGGGGCTGAGCTAAGGATTTGGAGTGAACTTGGTTGTAGTTTGAAACTGAAACATAGTTACTCAAGGTTTGGTGGTGAGCAGGTTGGGTTTAGGAAGTGATTGGATCATGAGGGCTCTGACCATGGGTTGGCCCGTTTGTAGTTCATCACTTGTTGACATTGTAGCAAGTTCATGGAAACAAAGACCCAGGCCTGGCTGAAGGCAATAAAGAGGGACCAGGAAGACGCTTACTTGGCCCTAAGCCTATTGTCTTGACCTTGATCCCTGGAGCCCACAGGGTAGAAGGAAAGCACTGGTTCCTGGCAGGTCATCTTCTGGGTTCTACATGCACACCATGACACACAACACACATGCACACTCACACACTCATGCACACACACATGCACACAGACACATACAGGTGCGCGCACACACACACTCATTCATGCACACACAACACACACACACACACACACACACACACACACACAGGGACTCTCTCTAAATATATGGAAGAAGTGAAGGGATACCTTGTTGCTAGCCTTTTCCATACTATCTGTCAGCTGTGAGGTGAGCTACCTTATTTTACCACATACTCCATCCAGTGGTGTTCTGCAATGGGGTCCACTGCCTCTGGGCTGCAATCTCTGAAACCATGAGCTAAAACTAATGCTATTTTAAGTTAGCTATGAAAGGAGCATGGGTGCCGAGATAAATTTTTCTTTTCCCAAGTCAGGGTTCCTCTGTGTAGCCTTGGCTGTCCTAGAACTCAATCTGAGTCCAGGCTGGCCTTGAACTCACAGAGAGATCTGCTTGCCTCTGCCTCCTGAGTTAGTGCTGAGATTATAGGTGTGACCCACCACCGCACTGAGATGCTTCCCTCCCTCCTCCCATCCCTCCATCTCTACTCATTTGTAAAATTTCCACAACCTCTTTTCTTTAAAGATTTATTTATTATGTATGCAGTGATGTATTCCTGCAGACCATAAGAGGGTACTAGATCTCATCACAGATGGTTGTGAGCCACCATGTAGTTGCTGGGAATTGAACTTAGGACCTCTGGGAGAGCAGCCAGTGCTCTTAAACTCTGAGCCATCTCTCCAGCCCCAAAAACCTCTTTCCATAGTCTTGTTTTAAGAAACATTGGGAACTGGGCACACAGGAGGCTGAGGCAAGAGAATCATGAGTTCAAGACCAGTTTGGAAAACTTAGTGAGACCCTACTTTAAAAAAAGTAAATCAGGGCTGGAGAGATGGTGCAGTGGTTAAGAGCACTGGCTGCTCTTCCAGAGGACCCAGGTTCAATTCCCAGCACCCACATGGCAGCTAACAACTGTCTATAATTCCAAAATCTTGACGCCCTCACACAGACATACATTAGACAAAACCCTAATGCAAATAAAAATGAATAAATAATTTTAAAACAAGTAAATCAGTAGAGATAGGGATCCATCTCTTACAAATGCTGGGTGTTACCTGGTGGTGGCTCACATCTTTAATCCCAGCACTTGGGAGGCAGAGGCAGGCGGATCTCTATGAGTCCACAGAGCAAGTTCCAGGACAGCCAGAGATACACAGAGAAACCCTGTCTCAAAAAACAAAAACAAAAAACCAGAAAAAAGAAAAACAACAACAAAACAAAAAACAAAAATGCTGGGTACTCCTAGACGTATCCTTTTTAAAGGATCATATTGAGTTGGGTTGCAATGTCAATTCATTGTTTCATTTTCTTCACTATGAATGGTTTTCTGATTTATTCAGAGATAGTTCTAGTTGTGTGGATAATTGGAAGCTCCTTTTCATTCACTGCAAAGTTCTGGATTTTTAGCTAACAGCTGTCACAACTGAGATGCATACATACTCCATACTGTGTGCACTACACTTTTCACAAGTAGCAACAGGGCCATTTACATCGGCAAGGCTAGTCTGGGCTGAATCGTCTGTCGGGTTTCCATAAGGGTATTTTTTTTTTTTTTTGGTTTTTAGGAGACAGGGTTTCTCTGTATTGTTTCGGAGGCTATCGGTCCAGCCCGGCCTCGAACTCACTGAGATCCGCCTGCCTCTGCCTCCCGAGTGCTGGGATTAAAGGCGTGCTCCACCACCGCCCGGCTCCATAAGGGTATTTTTTTTTCCTTTGCATTTTCTAGTGTTAAGTCTAGAAAGCGTTAGAGACTTCCACGCGTGCAAATGATGCCTAAGAGATGTTCGCTGTCCTGTTTGTTCAGTGGTGGAATGGTTATCTAGCACGCACGAAGCCTCGGCAAAAATGAGGGTCACTCTCCTGGTCTTTGCATCTCTTCCTGAAACACAAACTGCTTACAGTTTTCTAGACACATGCGCTAAAGACAGGCATTGTTAGCCCCATTGTAACAGGGGTTAAAAGTCTGCCATGGCTGCACATTCCCCCACCTGGTCAAACTAAACACAGGGATGTTTCTACTAGCGGCTTTGGAGAATCCTGTGCTTTGGTTTTAGTCAAACAACAGCAGTAACAAATATAAACATGGGTTAATGCAAAATTAACCCTCAGATGTCAGCTAAACCACGTTCTACCATTCTGTCCCTAACCCTACCTGTGAGAACACAGGTATGTCCTCTGAACATAGTAGGTCCCTGTCATGGGCTACTGGATCATGCTTATTCCCCTTGTCCCATTCTTCAAAGAGCAAGCCAAAATTACCAGAAAATATGACTGCCCCACTATGTGTGTGTGTGTGTGTGTGTGTGTGTGTGTGTTTTGTGAATTGCTGAAAGCAAGGTGGTCATAGCCATCATAATGGGCTGTACAGATAAAGTGATTTTTGTGATGGTATGACTTGTGCGGACCTTTGGTACTGGCTAATCAATCGCGGTGCTTCCAGGCATGTAATAGATGAGAGGCCCACTGGGTTTTGTTTGTCTGTGTAAGCACAGGAACCCTCGAACAAATGAAAGAAAAAGGCTACATTGGATTGCGGCAAAAGGGAATCTTGACTCGTGAACCAATTTCCAGACGTGAGCCAGTTTGCAGACCCAGAGCCGCTTGAATGAAGGGACAGCCAGGCTGTCATGAAGAAGGACTTGGTTAAAAATACCTAAGGGAGCCGGGCGTTGGTGGCACACGCCTTTAGTCCCAGCACTTGGGAGGCAGAGGCAGGTGGATCCCTGTGAGTTCGAGGCCAGCCTGGTCTACAGAGCTAGTTCCAGGGCAGTCTCCAAAACAATACAGAGAAACCCTGTCTCAGAAAAAAAACCAAAACAAACAAAAAATACCTAAGGGTTTTACTGTTAGCCTTTCCTTAGCGCTTCCCCAGAGGGACCCACAGCCTTTTACAAGTGTCCTGTGCCCTGGGGGAAAGGCAACAGTTGGACTTTCTGTTGGAAACTAGCTCTGAATCGATGCTGAATCCGGGAGACGCCGCCCCCCGGGAAACACTGTGGCGTCCAGTTTAAGTATGGTCTTGTGGAAGTCAGGGGATTAATGGAGTTTGAAGTCGGACACAGTAGGTCCAAGCTCGTCCTGGGGTTACTCCCCAGTGCCAGCATGTATAATTGGGATAGATGTACTCAGAAGTTGGCAGAATCCTCACATTGGTTCTCTGAACTGTGGTGTGAGGGCTGTTGTGATTGGAAAGGCTAAGTAGAAGCCTTTAAAGCTACCTCTGTAGTGAATGGAAAACAGTATCTCTCCAGTTGATGGTGGCTCACACCTTTAATCCCAGCATTCAGGAGGCAGAGGCAGGCGGATCTCTGTGAGTTCAAAGCCAGCCCGATCCACAAAATGAGTTCCAGGACAGACAGGGCTACAAGAGAAACCCTGTCTCAAAAAACAAAACAAAACAAACAAAAAACGGTAGTGCATCCCTAGAAGAAATACAGAATGGGTAGTAGAGGGAGTTAGTTATAGATGCTAGATAAGGCCACATGACCAGTTGCAGAAACGAAGGTGATGATTGACATGGATGTTTCCGTCAAATATTTTTTAAGAATGTGTTAGTACAGATATGTGATTTTTTCCCCCACGATTTCTTGTTTTGTTTTTTGAGACAGGGTTTCTCCATGTAGCTTTGACCATCGTGGAACTCACTCTGTAGACCAGGCTGGCCTCGCAATCACAGAGATCCGCCTGCCTCTGCCTTCAGAGTGCTGGGTTTAAAGGCGTGTGCCACCAACGCCCGGCTCCCCTCGATTTCTTTATCATCCGATTGCAGGCAGGTTTTCCCTGTCCCACCAGCCAGCTACCAGATAAAAAACACAGAAACTTATTAATTATGAAAGCCAGGTCAATAGCCTAGGCTTGTTACCTACCGGCTCTTACAACTTAAATTAACCCGTGTTTCCTTATCTGTGCTCCACCGTGTGTCAGTATTGTGTTTCAGCGTGGCATGTTCATTTCCTGCTTCCTCTGCTTCTCGATGTTGGCCCCGCCCTCCTTCCCAGCATGCTCCCAGTTTGGCCCTCCTGCTTAACCTCTTCCTGCCCAGCTGTTGGCCAGTCAGCTCTTCATTAACAAGGAGAGCAACACATCCTCACAGCCTACAAAAGGATTACTCCACAGCAATCGGGTCCTTAACATCAATTAAAAGGGTATCAGTGGTTGTCATATTTGAGTCTGAATGAATGTCCCCTAAAGGACATTGCCACCTAGTCTAAAATTTATAGTGTGTTTGCCATTGTGCAAGGGGTAGTTATGTTAGGCCTAATTATGACCTGGTTAAATATAAAATGCATGTTTTATTATACATTGAATGGTTATGTCATGTTAGGTATAATTATGTCCTCGTCATTGTATTCATTTGGAGATTAAGTGCCCCATAATTGACAAGGGGTGGATTGATGGCTGTTCTTGGTTGTCAACTTGAATACATCTGGAATCAACTAAAACCCAAGTGGCTGGGCAACACCTGTGAAGAACTTTTTCTTAATTAAATCATTTGAAGTGGGAAGACCCACTCTTCTTTCTCTTTTTTTTTTTTTGTGTGTTTTATTTGTTTGTTTGTTTTTGTTTTTCATTGTTCTTTTTTATCCTTTTCTAAAAATTATTTATTACATATAGAGTGTTCTGCCTACGTGCCAGAAGAGGGCACCAAATTTAATTGTAGATGGTTGTGAGCCACCATGTGTTTGCCGGGAATTGAACTCAGGATCTCTGGAAGTGTAGCCAGTGCTCTTAACCCCTGAGCCATCTCTCCAGCCCCTATCCTTTTTTTAAAAATGTGAATTAGAAACAAGCTTGCTTCACATGTCAATCCCAGCTCCCCTTCCTTCCCTCCCCTCCTCCCACAAACTCCCCAGCACCCCACCCAATTCCTACTCTGCTACCTGAGTGAGGTAACCCAGTCACAAAAACACAAACATGGTATGTACTCACTTATATATGGATTTTAGATGTGGATCAGGAGAGTGCCAGTCTACAATCCCATTGCCAGAGAGTCTGGGAAACAGGGAGGACCCTAAGAGAGATTTGTGTGGTAACCCAGAGAAGGGGAATGGGGAAAGATCTCCTGAGTAGATGGGGAGCATGGGGGGGAGGGAGCTGGGAAAAAGAGAGGGGGAGAAGAGGAGGGGAGAGGAGGACATGGGGGAGCAGGAAGGTTGAGTCAGGGGAAGAATAGAGATCAGGATGAGAGATACCATAATAGAGGGAGTCATTATAGGTTGGAGGAGAGATCAGGCACTATAGAGATTTCCAGAGATCTACAAGGATGACACAACTGGTAATCTAAGCAATAGTGGAGAGACTACCTTAAATGCCATTCCCTGATAATGAATTTGATGACTACCTTATATACCATCCTAGAATCTTCATCCAGTGATTGTTGGAAGCAGAGGCAGACACCCACAGCTAAACACTGAACTGAACTCCTGGAACCCAGTGACAGAGAGGGAGGAGTAATGAGCAAAGGGGTCAAGACTGAGCTGGTGAAACCCACAGAGACAGCTGAGCTGAACAAGGGGGAGCTCTTGGACCCCAGACTGATGGCTGAGAGGCCAGCAGGGGACTGATTAAGACCCCCTGAACATGGGTGTCAGCAAGGAGGCCTAGGCAGTCTATGGAGCCTTGGGTAGTAGATCAGTGTTTATCCCTGGCATATAAATAGACTTTGGGTGCCCATCCCACGTGGAGGGAGGCTCTCTCAGTCTGGACACATGGGGGAGGGCCTAGGCCCTGCCCTGGATGAAATGACAGACTCTGGTTGTTCTTATTTATTTATTTATTTATTTATTTATTTATTTGAGACAAGGTTTCTCTGTGTATCTCTGGCTGTCCTAGAACTTGCTCTGTAGACCAGGCTGGCCTCAAACTCACAGAGATCCGCCTGCCTCTGCCCCCTGAGTGCTGGGATTAAAGGTACATGCCACAACGCCTGGCTAGTGATAATAAACTTTTTTTAAGTCAGGGAGAGGCTGAGTTGGTAGAGTATTTGTCCGGCATGTAGAAAGCCATGGGCTCAGTCCCTACCTCAGCACAAAAACAAACATTCCTGGTATTTTAACACTCAACAGACGTGAAAGGCTTGAGAGATGAATCAGAGGTTAAAACACACAGGGTGCTCTTATAGAACCCAGGGTGGAATTACCGTGACCCACATGGAAGCTTACAACCATCTGTACCGGGGTATCCAATACCATTTTTGGTCTCTAAAGGTACTGGGTACGCATACAGTGCATGGACATTCCTGTAGGCAAAATGCCCATACATTTTTTTTTTTTTTTTTTTTTTTTTTGGTTTTTCGAGACAGGGTTTCTCTGTGGCTTTGGAGGCTGTCCTGGAACTTACTCTGTAGACCAGGCTGGCCTCGAACTCACAGAGATCCGCCTGCCTCTGCCTCCCAAGTGCTGGGATTAAAGACGTGCGCCACCAACGCCCGGCATGCCCATACATTCTTAAAACAAAACAAAACAAAAATCAAAAGAACAACTGGCTATGTAGCTTGGTGCTAGTATGCACAAGTTCTCAGACTCAATCTGAGTGAGACAGTTTGAGGGAAAATTATTGTCAGTAGCAGTACGGTCTGTGGGTGGATGTTCCGATACTATGTCAAATAATCAAGAGCCACATTCTCTTGACCAGCGGGAGATGTGGTGGGAGCGTAGGCTGCGAAGGTTGTTGGATATAAGGCCGTGGAATTTGGACTGAGCTTGGAGGAACCACTAGACGTTCCCAGCAGGAGAAGGCCATACATGACTGCATTTCAGGAGATTACTCCCTAACCACGGGAAAGGTGATTCTGAGCACTGATGAAAACAGACTTAAGGAGAAGAGCTAAATATAGAAAATGCTTTCCGGAGTCCTGCTAGGAGGCAGCAGAGTCATGAACTCACGTGTGGCGTCTGCTGCGAGGCCTGTGTCCGAGAACATGCGGAGGGTGTCGGGGATTGACAACACAGAGACTTGTTCAACGATGTAAAGAAAACTTTAAACAGGCTCCAAAAAGGTTCAAGAAAACTTCCTAAGAAAGGCTCCCACCAGAGAAGCTTCTGCTCTCTCCTCTCCCCTGGCTGGTTCCGCTCTGACCCCCGAAACTGATCTGGGCGTGGCAGAAGAGGCGGTTAGTCTTTGGACAAGGTCGAGGTCAGGGTGGTTTCTGTGGGCAGGCCTTTTCCAGGAACTTAATGCCCCCAGGCATTGTATTGTTTTTAGTAAACATTGTCTTACTCCCTGGCAGAAGGGGAAGTGGGTCTCTGCTCAAGGTCTGGTGTTCCCACACTCACGTATGGGGAGGGAAGTGTTGAGTGACACTGCTTGGTGCCACAGCCCCACAGACACGTATAAACGGGGCATGGTGATGGCGGCGCACGCCTGGAAGCCCATTCTAGAAGGTGTAGGCAGGAGGACTAGACGTTGAGTGTTGGTGGGTGGCGGGTGGTAATCTTGGATCACGGGATGCTCTCAGCACTTGAAATACATTACCCTGTGCTTGTGTCTAAACATCGGCTGGAGTTGAAGACATCTCTCCGCGTCCCCTCCCATTTCTGGGCTATGAGACAGATTCAGCAGCAACCAGAAGCTTTACCTAGGGCTTTCTCCTTATGTTATTTTAAAACAAAAAATGTGTGGCAGGATTTTCATGCCCCCTTTTGTTTGGTTGGTTGGCTTTTGGTTTTGCAAGACAGGATTTCTCTGTGTAACCTTGGCTGTCCTGGAACTCACTTTGTAGACCATTCTGGCCTTGAGCTCACAGAGATCCGCCTGCCTCTGCCTCCCGAGTGCTGGGACTAAAGGCGTGCGCCACCACCGCCAATCCAAACTTGGATCTTCTGGAATAGCGGAAGAGGAGCCGCACAGGCTCTTCACCGCTGAGCCATCTCTCCAGGCCCTTGTTTTTGTTTTGGGGGCAGAATCTCACTATCTGGTCCTGGCTGTCCTGGAACTTGCGATGTAGAACAGAATAGCCTCGCATTGGTAGCCATCCTCCTGCCTCTGTCACCAGGGTGCTGAGATGATAGCTGTGTGCCACCACACCCAACTCTGCTTTCTTGAAGACACTCCGAAATGGCCCGTAGCATATTGTCGTGGTTGTAGGAGTAGAGCTGAAGTATCCGAGTCCTGCTGGGACTATCGCTTCTAAGTACTGTAGCCATGGCCTCTGTGCAGCCTGGACTCCAGTTTGAGAAGTTTTATTTCCTCTTCAAGGAGAGAGTGCTTTAGTCCATTACACTTCAAAGGGTGGAAAGTTGGAGAGAGATTCCACCTGCACTGGCCAACATGATGGGGAAAAAATTAGGTTGTTTCAGAATCCATTGTTTACTTTTAGCTGCATAATAGTCTCCAAGTAGGTTTCCTTACAGCCTTTCCAAAGATGGCAGGAAAGGCAGCCAAATATCCTGAGTCTGGAGGAGGGTGGGCAGAGCTTGTAATTGCCTATCACTCTCTGGATTTACTTGTGCAGAGCACCAATTAAAAATCTCAAATGTGGCTTTTTTTTTAAAGGGGGATTACATTATGTCTTTTTTATTATCAAATATGAATACACGTGTGTGTGTGTGTGTGCGCGCGCGTGCGTGTGTGTGCATGAGAGCACACACGCGCACATATGTGCCTGTGTTTTAAACATTTCCATAATGAGTTCCCAAGTGCTTTTTTGGCCCTGGTTATTAAAGCTTGTGTGTTTGCGATTTATTTGGCAAAATGCCTTTCGTGAAGAAAGGATATAGTGTTCTCTTGGTTCTTTGCCCAAAGTAATTTTGGAGAAGTCTGTGACTGTATTTAGTTCCTGTCATTCACTAGAGACAAGTCATTGTAATTACATTTGGACACACTCAGTTTACAGTTGTTTTATCGTGTTTTTTTGTGTGCTGAATATCTACTCAGACATCATAGCAGAACTTAATGGCTACTGTTTTATTTGTTCATAAAATGTTTTATGGCCTCCCCCCACCCCACCCCCAGCACACACCGGGTTTCAATCATCAC